TTTTAAGAAATGTACGAATTACTTCATATTGTCAGTAGTATCACAATTGAAAAACATTTTCAGTTTTTTTGTTGTAAATATTATTTACACATTTAAAATCTTTGTCATTTTAGAATCAGTAGGCAGCAAGAATCATAATTGGAATTATTTAAATTCTTTGTTCAATTTTCTTTGAATTGTGAAGTAAAATAACACAAAAATTGAAATCAGAGAAATTTAAAATCTTGCCATAATGATAATTAATGTGCTTCAACAAAAATAGCTCACACAGGTTGGATACATTTTAGTTTCTTCAACTGCTTTTTACCTTAATGAAAACTGATATAATAGCATTTGTCTTTTCATTGCTTCATAGACTCCATAAAATAATTTTATTGAAAAAATATTTTGTTGATCATTCAGTTCCTTTAAAATCTATGCCTAGCCTCATGTATGTAGTTTGCACCCTCTAATAATTTCCTAGTGTGATATTATTATAATAATATCAGTGAAAAACTTACACAGTGCTGACTGTGAACCCTGGACAGAACAGAGAGATTTACATGTATTATGAAGTCATTCTTCAGAATAACCCTATCTGGTACAGTTTATAATATTATATTATCTTTTGTCAATAATTAGTTTACTCAAAGGTATACATTGATAAATGGAGATATCCAGGACTGCACTGTTTGACTACAAACACCATAATAATGTCAAAGTATGAGAACATTTTTATTACTCTTTGATAGATTTTGAAGTACAGATGTTCCTCTGCTTGCAGTGAGGTGACTTTTCTACAAGCCTATTATAAGTAGAAAATATCATAAGTTCAAAATGCATTTAACACAGCTAACCTACTGAGCATCATCATAGGTAGTAGCACCAAAGTGCACTATAGAGTACTGGTTGTTTACCTTCAAGGTCACTGAGCTGACTGGAAACTGGCTTGTGTTCTTGCCCAGTGTTTTGAGAGAGAATCATATAGTATACCACTACCTGGGAAAAAAATAAATAAAACTTTAAACTACAATTTCTATTGAGCATGTATTGCTTTTGAACCACCTTATAGTCGAACAATTGAAGGTGGAACTATTGTTAGGTTGAGGACCCTCCATATGATTTTCTAAAAGTTTCATGATATGTTTTAGTATCTTTGGTCACTTACAAGTGTGGCACTATCTACACTGATTTCTTCAGTACTGAGTCTATCATTTATTGTTGCTTTATTTTAAAATGAGTAAATGATACAGTCTTAGTTTTCTTCTTTTTGACAATTATAGTGAAAATATTTTCTGCCTAATCAAAGTATTTTTGTGAACTTATTCTTCCTGTCTTTCTGTCATTTATCTAGTGGCATCTTACTGCTTTACTTATCCACTATATGATCACTTGTTTAAGAAATTAAATCATCATTTATCCACAGCTTGCAGTCTTGCTTCTCTGATGTAGTATGTTTGAGAATCTCTTCCCTAGAGGTATAATCACCTTGCTTCCACGGGAGGGAGGTTATCTTACTTACGTTAGCACACTTCATACATATATTGATCAAGGTTTGTCTAAACAATTTAATTCGAATCTTCCTGGGTCCAGAAAACTTCTGTTATCATATTTTAATCTTCTGAAGGATAAATTGAAGTATCTTGTTAATAACAAAGACCAACTGTTTTTTTATGATAATCTTGAGGGCTAAACTATTTTAAACTTGGATAATAATGATCTTGTTATAACTGCATGCAGTTACTTACAGAGTTCCAGGTGCTAAAAACTAATGGGAATGCAGATGTACCTGTGTTGAACCATAGCTCACAGAAATTAGATTGGCTGCTATTTCTAGCACATTTTGGTTTCTATTTGTGTTATCTCTGATGCCTGTAAGCATTTTCAAGTGCATATCTGAATATTTATTGATAAAGGAAAGCATATTTTTATACCATCTGGTGCTGAGGTATTATAGTAATAGCATCCTCAAAATTTATCCCAAAATGCTTATTTGGGCAGTTATTATTCTATTTTACATTTTCACAGAAAAGGAATGTAAGTTTTAATTTTCTTAAAAAATGTTAATGCTTTGACCACTGAATCCTTAGAAAATGTAAAGAAATGATTTATTTTTAAGATACTTTGGTCATTTTGTATTTATATTAATTGATCTATTTTTAATTGCTGAGTTATATTCTAAATGGGAATATTAAGCATGGTAATATCATATGGATCATGAAAAAATCATTTCCTCTAAGATCTATTCTACTACATTGATTATATTATTAAGAGTATATTATTGAGCTAGGGATGTGGCTCAAGCCGAAGCATGCTTGCCTGGCATGTGTGGGGCGCTGGGTTCGATCCTAAACACCACATATAAATAAATAAAGATGTTGTGTCCACCGAAAACTGAAAAATAAATATTAAAAAATTATCTCTCTCTCTATTTTATCTCTCTCTCTCTCTCTAAAAAAAGAGTATATTATTAAGAGTAATAACTAATATTTTTATTCCAAAATATATGATGGGTTGGAAACTGATCGAAGTACACTATAAGTAATTTCTCATCCTTTTTTTCACAAAACCGATAAGATCCATTTTTATCACTATTTTATAGATTCAACTAAACATAGTCTAGTTACATTCTAGTTACTTAAGTTACTCCCAGTGATTTATCCAGAGCCTCCTAAAGCAATCCAAAGAAAGCATCATTGGAAAACCTAAATCAATGTTTGGTAAAATAAAAGTGATTTTGCATGGCTTCAAGTCTTTTGATTAAATTTTATCAAAACAATAAAGTAGAATTCTATTTATAGGTAAGATGATTTAGATTCTTTAGGACTAAAATATGTGAATTTGTTGTTCTAGTGAATTGCATGGCAATGAATGTGTGTGATGTGTGTATGTACTAATTTGAAGACAGAATGCTTATAATTTTTCAAGTTAAGAGAATTTAATAGAATGCTCTTGTTATTTTTAAAATCATTGAAGTTTTAATTGAATATTGGAATGATGAGCAATATGAAACCAATCCTATTAGATAATGTCCAATCACAATGCAATTATTTTTCTAAGCACAGATCTGTATGAGTTTATAAACTGCAAATTCTCAGGCAGAGGCAAGTTTGTCCTTTATGAGGAAATTTCTTACTAAAAACCCATCAATATACTTGTCAATAATTAGTAATAATTTATTGAGTTGGAATTCATGGATATAATTAACAGAGGTGTGCAAACTTGTATGTGTTAGTAGATATGAGTAAATTGAGATGATTGTGTTGTTATTAACAATTATGGTAAAACATGGTTATTCATTACATTTCAACTATGAAAAAAACCTAAAAGATCAAGGAATCATCTTCATTCCAAGAAACTAACACTCTAAGAAATAGGGTCAAACTTTTTTTAAAGGGCCAAGTGGTAAATGTTTTAGCTTTGCAGGCCATGTGCCTTTGTCATACCTATTTTACTCTGCTGTAGCAGCACTGAAGAATCCATAATCATCTTCTAATGAGACTGGCAAACTTCCAGTAAAACTATATTTACCAAAACACATGGTGGCCTGGATTGGGCCCATGGGCCATAGCTTTTCTGCCTCTAATCTGAGTGCTAAGACAAGGCAGAAGCTATATAAAGTTAACTTAAATACAATTTTAGTAATTGTTTAATACATCAATGAAATAGGTGTAAATATAAAAAAAATTGTTATATATCTTATAAAAGTTTTACCTATTCATATAGTATCTTAATATTTTAATATGGTATGACTCTAGTTTTAATATATCTGTAATGCAAATTATTATTTGACATATTCTTTAAATTATCATAAGTATTAAAATTGAAAATAATGTCATAGTATCCCTATTGCTTATAAGGATTCCATTTTAGTGACAACCAAACCCACAGATACTTAGTCAGACTTAAAATTAGAACGTCACAAATGCTGGGGGAATAAGGTATGAAACATTGTCTACTTTTCCTCTGAAAATGATCCATTGGAATTTGATTTGGAATTAGTAGTCTGGCTTCATTAACATTTGCAAATTCATTGGGTATTTATATTTTATTTTCTTCTCTTTTATATAAAATAAAGTCGATATATTTCAAGTAAAGTTAAAAAACAAATTTTTATCAAAAGCCTAGACCTGCTGGTATATCATTACTGAGATGATATCATTACTGAGTTCACATTACAGTTCTCTTGAAATCAGTGTAAATACTATTCATAAAAGTAAATCAAACTGAATGCATTGAAGCACTAAATAACTTCTGCCATAAGTTTTAATGGTTTCTATCAATAAAGTTCACTTTATTGGAGAACTTTGTATTTACTAGAATTTTTAACATGAATATATGAAAAATTAAAAATAACCTTATACTTTACAATATCCAGAAAAGTGAATGGATTATATACAACTTGCTTTTTTAATACAGCTATTGCTCTACAAATGTATAAATATATATATTTAGAGTTGCATTTTTAAATCCTGAAATGTAAATTTAAATTAGAAGCCTTCTATAAGTGATTGAAGAAGTCACATAAGCATAAAATTTTCAATATGCTGTGATAAGTAATACCACTGGCAATAAGAAATCAGTGGGTCAAATTAATAAGACCTATTACTGGAAACTTGCATGCTATATGAAACACATGTATTTAAAAGGTTATTTAGAATGACTTTCAAATGTAAATTTTGGGGAAATTTCTTAAGGAAAGAGATGTTTAAATGGGCTTACATCTTTATTTATATATCTATATATTTAATTGCATACAATTGATTAAAGTATGTTGGCTCATTATATTTCCTATTGAATAATCATTTTAAGTAAGATAAAAATAACTAATGTCACTCTGTATTTCTTAAATCCATAAGTGCTTCTTAAACTGAAAGCCATGGTGGAAAAACTTACTATATGCATTTAGAGATTTTTTATTTTGATGAGCAGACAGACACTTGAGTAAATCCAGTGTCTTTATCTATATTTGAGGGAGTGGGATCTCTTCCTTATCCTGGGCTCTCTTGTTTGCTTTTCAGTTGCTGCGAATGTGGCTGTGGGAGGGCTTCTTCCCTGTGCGCTGTTGCCCATCCAAGCCTAATATGGTTAGTGTTCCCTCCCGCTTTCACTCCCGCGTGATGTCCACCTCTATGTATGACTGTCAGCATTCCTTTTCTTTCTCCATCTGTGTACATTTTGACACTTGGTGCACCAGTTACACTTTAACAGTGAAAAAAGTAGATGAAACTGGTTCCCAAAGGTAAATCCTTATAAGTGATTTCACAACAAATTATTTTAACTAAAGTATTATACATATAGCACATCATCCCTATGTCAAGCATTCATAGTTCTCCTCTGCAGCTTTTACTGAGATTCTGATTTTAAATAGGAAGTTGTAAGATTATAGCATCTGTTCCACATTTAACATGTCACTGTTTTTGTTGTTCCATTCAGTATAATCCATATCACATGTGGAAGTACAGTACTACTACTGTCAAGGTTAAATCACCTTTTCTGTCTCCCGGAAACATGGAATGACCATAATGTAATTGGGATCTTCAATTGTCATACTCATTGTGGATACATGTGGCATTGATATACAAAACCACATATAACTTTAAATGGTTTACCTAATTTTTATTAAGCTTGAATTATTTCAGATATTTGAAGTGATATTCCTATTTTGATACCACTGAACAAAAATATGTACATTTGTGGAATCAGTGTCTAAATGGTATAGTCTCAATTATTTATGAGTTAAAATTTTTAAGAAATACCTCGGTTATAACAATAACACAGTAGACTGGAAAAATAGGACCTGAGAACGCTCAACCTAGGATTTGGGAAATTCCTACATATTACTGAGCCACTTTATAAAAATTGAAGTACTCCAGGTAATTCCTTTATAAGAGTCTAAAGCATTGAATTATTTTATTGAGTTCTCATTTGTTATCAAAATTTATCAAGAAACAATTTTTAAAATGCCTTTAAAAGAATTATAGAGTTTCTTTCATAACATCATTTAAATTGGTTTCCTATATTCCCTAAGTCTTATTAATTTTTTGTTGAATTAAAAAAGCTTTGTAAATGAGTGTGCACACATGTGCACAGATGAGAAATGGTGGAATGGATACCAGAAATATTTGGATCAAAGAAGAGTAAAAAAACACAGGCTGATGCAAATCAAAGATCTTTCTCTCATTCTCTTGAAAGCTTTGTATTTGAAAAAAAAAAGTTTTGAAGTTAATATGAAAGCACATATTTTTGTGTATCATTTACTTCACACAGGAATATCTTCTGGGCATGAGGCTTCAGTGACAAAACAGATAAATACTGCAATCTGACAATAGCAAAACTATAAAATGTAAATGACTTTACATTGTGATTTTTCTACTGTGCTATGAAAAATACAACATAGTTGTTAAATTGCCTATTCTACCTCAGTCTCAAGTACAGTCTTATAAGAGATAACTTATCACTAAATTAGAATAGACAGAATTTACATTTTAGAAAGAAAGAAGACTGATATCCATGCCTATGTTGAAGTAAATGTCAAAGAAACTTAACTGGGAACATGAACATTAATGAGCCGATGATTTAGTAAGTATTGGCAAAGATGAACGTCAACTAGATTGAATTAATGAATTTTTAAAAAGTTTTACATTGTGATTTTACATTGTTTTTACATTGTGATTTTTCTACTGTGTCTTTGAAAGAAGGAAAGTGGGAAGACACCTTCTTTGCGAGGAATACACCAGAAAAACCAACCATAAAAACTTTTGCTTAATATCTTTTGTGAAACAGTGTTAGGAATTGTGGAGGCAAATAATGGTTTGTCTGTGTGCATGTGAACTTGTCTGTGTGTATATGGAAAAAACTTATTTAGTCACAGATACTCTTAGGTACTTTTCAGGGGAAGCTGGAAAATCTGAAATCTGTCACTGAATTTTGTGAATATTGTCATACCAGCCTTTTAATTATCATATAAATAATTTTCAAGAAACTCTATCATCATCATCATTTATGAACAGGCACATTTTCAAATACTTTTAGACATTTTGGATCTTGAAATCTCTTTTTTCATTTCTTGAAATAAATAGATGTGTGGTTGGTTTTGACCTTATTATAACATGATACTTTTATTACAATTGTCCATTGTATAGTCCTTGACCTTTAGAAATACCTTGAGATACTTTATGGAAATATATTGAGCTACTTTGAGACACTTTGAAATACTTTCGGAATAAACTTTGTGGAAATAAAACTTTCAGCACCAGCAATTTACATCCTTGTTTCTGTAGTTCAGCCTTATCAAAGCTTCTACAAGGTGCTGATGTTGAGTTTTGATTTCTGTCCTATTTCCCTCCAGAAAGGCACAATCCACTATTTTTCCCATGGCATGTTTTACTATTTAAAATGTGAGATCTGTTTTTACATGTTTCCATCTTTCATCCTTGGTCTTAAATTATTTTTATGACTTGTAACTGTTTGCTTTGTTATGACATCCATAAACATCATGTTAATATTCCAGATATTGTCCCTGCTTCGACTGAAATCTACTGTGATTCTGTAGATATTTCTATAGTTATTTCTGTAATATTTCTGATTGCTAGTCATATGCCTAGAATTAAAATGCCCTTTCCCCACAACTGCCAACATTTTAAGCAAAGGTACTCTTTTCAATGGTCTGTGCCTTTAAGCCATCATATCTGGCTCAGAGTGCAGTCATTGTCTCACATCTCAAAATTTTTTTTTTTTTTTACAAATAAGGAATGTTGAATTGATTGTTATCAATTTAATCATATATGACATAAAATAGATATTTAATTTCTAAAATAATGTTACCATTTATTCCTGAAGTCTCTCGTGTTTGTGCTGATGGAAACCAATATCAATCTGTAGTATATTATTTTTATGTCAATCTGAAATATCCTAGAGTCTCCAAAATAGCCATTTCTTGATTTCTTAAATTCAAATACACCAGTTTATTTCCCTTGTTCATTATTTTTCATATTTTACAGTGTTTACATGTCCTATAGTATTTCTTCAGAAGGGTTTAAGTGTCAAAGGAAAAAACTTTTAAGTATTTTGAAATTAGAGATGTTGAATTGTTATTTTGTGCACTTGCCTATTCTGTTTGGAAAGTCATTCATTTTTTTAAAAAAACCAATTTTCTTATTTAAACATATTTTTAATCAGTAATGAGATAAATTCTACTTCCTCTTAAGATGCAAATATTAAAATATTTTGTAATGCAATTGTTAAAAACAAACATCACCAGCCAAAGGTGAATTTTTGAAGCATTATTGTCTAATTTTTTCAACAAACTATTTTCTTTTTATATTAAGTACATAAGTTTATAATAATTTGAAGTAGGAAGATTTTTACCTTCACATATACATTTCAGAGACAATTTATTCATTCTTACAAGATGTCAGTCACGGAAATGTACATAAGTACTCTTCCCTTTTATACAGCATAAAAATTTAAAAAAATATTTTGTTATAATTCTGGACCTCCATTTAGAGTTTTTTTGTGCTTGAAATATGTGCTGAACATATTAAATTCCAATTGAAGGCTTGATTGTAAAATGTAACTAAGAATTTCTCCAATGTCCCCTTTAAAAAAAAATACTGTAGAACTTCAGATTGTAAGAGATAATAAATGAGTCTACTCTAAGATTTTCAAAGAACATCTATGAAATAGTTAAAAGTTAATAGGAAATTACCTACTCTAACATTAGAACAAACCTTGTTGGAAAAAGGGAAATTAAATCCCAAATGTCATATTTTGTGAAATGTTATATAACAATTCTAAGTGAATTAAAATTTAATTTAATTTTGAAAATAGTCTAAGTATTTGAAAAATTTCAGGTCTTCCTATGAGGTTCTAAAAGGATTTTGAGAATTCAAAAATGGAAGATTTACAAATTTATGTGTACTGTACACTTTTGAAGGTGTTACTTGACTTATTTTTTTTAGAATGTACAGATAACAATAACATCCAAGTCATAAAATAACATAAATTAGCTTCCCATATGCTACTAATCACAGGATGGTTAGTGACCTTGATCAAATGGGAGATGGTGACTCAATTGCATCATTCCTTGGTTCAAGGAGTCTATGTTTTCAGGATGAGTATATTTCTATTGAAGAGTATATTTAAGAATTTTCAATAAGTAGTGACAGATTAGTTGCACGTTTTGTCTTTGCAGATCTATCTATAGAGAATTCAAACTCTAGTGTCCAGGTATTGCAAATGAAGGAAATATGGATGAGAGTCATGAGGTTGTGCTGGCAAGCTATCCTAAATGTCTGTCCCATTCTTGTAGAAGAATGCTCCAACATAAATAAAATTTCACCTATTTCCAATGTGAATTAGATATATTAAAGCAATGTTTGTGTGCTTCTTTATCTTATGAGACTGAGTTAGCTGAACTTTTATTAAAATTACCTTTAATTGGAGAGAATTCTGAAATGAAAACTTCAAAGTCTTTTCCCAAAAGCTATAACCTATTATCTTCAAGATTCCCCAAATAAAAATCTTTAAATACAACATTATGCAGTGGTTGAAATCATTATTATGTCAGAAAAAGTATGGCAGATTAAGAAATGTAGTTTTAAAAGAGACTAAATTAAGTGATTTTATTTTTCTATGAGAAAAACACATAGAGGTGAATGTTTGTTATAATTTGGAGTTTTCTTTTTGGAACATTTTTACTTTAAAGTGTAGAAAGATTATTTCTTAAATATTCTGGAAATTAGAGAAGCAATACAGGAGTACCTGATTCATAGTCAAGCACTGTATGTTCTTATTCTTTTAAAGAAATCAAAATTCAAAACCATTCCTCCTTCTACCACTGTAGCCCACCTATTCTTATTGAGATTAATTTGAAAACAATTATTCAGTATTTGTTTCTTTTGGCTAAAGCATTAAAAACTAAATATGATTATGTGGAGGCTGTTGTTGAGTAAGGATTCATACTCTTTTTGGCTATTCTATTCACTTGTTTTATCTCATTGGCCACAAGGGTGCCATTTAGTAAATTAGTGATCCTGTGCACTGCTTGGTACTCTGGAGTGTTTGACATTAATATTTTAAATTTATTATCATATCCTAAATTTATACCCAGCACTAAATTATTAATTGGCACCTCCATTTATACACAAAACTATTGTTTTCTGTTTCATGTATTATGTAAATTTCAAATATACAAATTAAATATGGTGGATTTGACCAGGTTTTTAAGATCCACATTAATATTATCAGGTATGTGTTGCCAAACTCCTTAGGATAGGTATGGGAGAAAATGGAACAATGTATAAATTTACCCTTAAAGTCATTGCTGTATTTTTTATATCAAGCACCTCTCTCTAGGACTGTAATAAATATTAATGAATAAATATTAGTTGAATATTATATCTCTTTTATCAAACCCATCTATAAAAGCACCTTGTTTTCTAGAACATGAATGTAATTGATTAGAAGATGATTCCTTTAAATATAAATACTACATATATTTTAGTACACTAATTTCAAGGCTCATTAAAATTGGTATATAAAGCAGGATGAAGAAACTGTTTCTTTTTCATTCAGAAAAAAAGTAACTCAGAAAATAGGAGGCTTATTTTATGTACAGAATGACATGTTTATTGACTTTGTTTGATTGGTTAAAATTATGCATCTGGAGCAAGAACAGAAGATGACTTAGAATGAGCCGGCCTCCTTGCTGTGCTTTGTTAATGAGGCTGAACCACTGCTTGAGTGCCAGTCTTCACCAGCTGTACTTTTACTTTCGGTACCTTGTTGAGGCTTGTTTTAATGATGCTTTGGAGGGTTCCAGAACTTAATTTTATATGTTAATGTGACATGCAGCCGTATATGTTACAGAGCTCTAGAGATGCCCATAGTCGAAAATAACTCCTTTCTATTGCCCTCCTGACTCTTACCCTAGGTAATAAAATTTTAACTGCTTCACACCAAAGTATTTCCAAATCATTTTTTAGAGGAGATACAATGTTTTATTTCCATTTCCATATGAAAATTTGCATACAATTTAAATACCTGGAGGCTATTTAATGGTAAAGGCTATTGGAAATTACCATTTTGAAGGCTTATTATTTATTTATTCTTTGGACATGAGAGTTTAAGGTAAAATGGATGTTTGTAAACTGAAAGAATATGTGTTCTTTTTGGTTTCCTTAGAATTTTTCTAACAAAGTCTTTTGTCAGTATTTAAATAACATGAATCTCAGGGTGATTTCACACAATTGTATTTAAAGCATTGTAAAAAGAAATATCAATAAATGTTCTCTCTAGAGGTGCATGCATTAAAAACCAAAAGAAAAATGGAATAACTAAAAATTATGAAAAATGTACTAAAGTAACATGAATCTTAGCTTGAATAGACCAAATATAATTTCATGTATTTGTTTTTTCTCTCCATTTCACTGTGATGAGGTGACTCAAAATGTCTTAAGGGCTCTTGAAGGACAAATGCATCTAAGTATGAGGAATAGAATTTGAAAAGTCACCAGATCTCTGTAGTATATTTTCCTCACCCAAGAATACTATATGTATTAAGTATATTATTTCAAGTTTATTCAAAAATTTTCTAGCTGTATTTTTCTAATAAGTTACCAGTTTCTTAATATAATAAAGACAATTGTATTTTTTCAAAATGTGGCATAAGGATTGGAGGTTTTGACCAATTCCTAATATATATGTAAATTATGGAAATGAAAGAACAAAATGTGTCATATTTTTAGATCAAAATATAGATTTTTTTTAAATACCACAGAATATGGAACATTCTGTTGGTAAATGTCTATTGTACACTTCACTTATGTCACACAGTAGTTTTCAACCACCCTTGTAATGAAAATAATTCATCAATCTACCATTTTGACTGTATTTTCTTAAATGAACTAATAAATGAAAAATTTATTTGCAATGAACTCAGTTTTGTGGTGGAATCTTATGAATAGTAAAATCACTTCCTTTGAGTTTCACCAAAAATAATTTAAATATTCTCATTTTAGTTAGTTGTTTGATGTTATATGGTCAATCATGTACCACATTGACTCAGTATTCATCAGCATAGTTCTTTTCTAAACACCTGTCATTGTGTAGACACAAAGTATCATTCACTCATTCCATCTATTCATTCATCAACATGATAAAACTGTTTAATGCTTACTCAGAATCAGGATCTAGCTCACTCCAGGAGTTTATAGATGAATACTAGTTACTGCCATTCAAGAAGCAGAAAAGTACTAGGAAAGCTAAAAATCTTACTCCAATGCCTCTATTGTGCTATAGAGTGTAAGTTGTATCAGAAGAGGAGTAGATAAAGCTGTTTTGTTCAGAGGGAAATTACATTAAATTGCTGTTTCAAGGGAAATGTGAAGGGAAAAACCAAATGAGACTATGATAGTTGAACATTGTTAGAATTAAAAATCCTTGGTGAAGGAACCAATATGAACAAATGTTTAAAAGCAATGGAGGAAGATAATGCAGAAAATGTGAGTTAAAGTTATACTTAGGAATATTTACATTCTTATTTTTTTGAAAAAAATTTAGTAAGAATCTTATTTAATAGAAAAAATATTCAGTACTTTGGTTATAGCCATGTCTACCATAGTCAAAGAAAAGCATTATAAAGTGGAGGAACATTATTTTGAAGGCACTTATAATAACCCGAATGAAAAATAACAGAGCCTTAATTGAGGAAGTGGTAGAGTTAATTGAGGAAAAAAGAAGAGTTGGATTGTAAACTATTTACATTGCATATTATTTGGGATTTGGTAACTAATTTGTTGTGAAGGTTAAAATCAGGATCTAGCTCACTCCAGGAGTTTGTCCCTTAAGGTTAACATAGCCTTAAGGTGCCAAGGCTATGTTAGTGTTAATAACAGGAAAATAAAATGAATCATAACTGAAGTAGGGTAAAGAGATATAATTATTTCTTTTTCAGGACTATTGAGTTTAAATGACAGTGGAATACAGATAAGTAAATAAAATAAATCTAGCAGAAATAAGAATAAATTCTCAAAATAAATTATATAAGAGAGATATTGGTTTAAATACATTGATGGAAATGAATGGATTAAAAGGAGAGCAAAAGAGAAGTTCATGCAGAGGACCTTTGGATATGTCCATATATAAATATAGAGAGGAACAGGAGTGTTGGAGAATATTTCTGGATTTTAGTGCATTTAGAATGATTAAAAACTAAGAGGAAGGCTTTGGGTTGGAGTTTAAGTTGTTATTAGTGAACCTCTGAACAGATTTTTATTAGAAAGGAGAGCAGATTGCAAGGAGTTCACAATTAAGGAATAGTTGATAAAATCAGGAGAGATTAAGATTTAGGGAATAGAGCTGATAGGTATAGGTCGTGTAAATTTGCATGGTGATCTGAGTAGATAAGAATGGAAAGCAGCTGGTGGAGCAACTAAATACTCTATAACAAAAAGGGAAAACCAAAATTACAGGTGCTGAAGGTTGAAGACAGTTAGCTCAGAGGCACATGTTGGGCAACTCATTCTCAAAGAGGTAATGGCCTGGGAGCTGGTTAAAAAAGTAAGAGGAACAGAACAACAATAACAAAAAATGTCTGGTGTATGTGTATGTGGTAAAGTGAACTTAAAACATAGGTTTGTATGGCTTCAGACCTCTTAAGGAAATCTAGACAAGATTATTTGCTGAGAGTGAGGAATACTGGCTGGAAAAAAAAAAGAAGTTTCATTCAAAAGGAATTTGAATGGCATTTCTTATTAGGAGTCTGAACATCAGTTCAGGGGTGTGGTAATTTCAGTTGTGTTTCATGCTTTGGGCTTGATGTGGTTGACTCACCACTTCAGATGTGGTTAATTGCAGCTTACTTTGTTCCAGGCGATGTGGCTACAGCAAAGCAAAGCAAGATCCAGAAGAGGAAAAGATGCATTTTCATAATGGGCACAGTAAGCAGATTGTGAAAAAAAAGGAGGGTGGGGGAGGAATTTTATTGTTATTTAGAATTCTTTTTAGGTTAGAGGATTTATAATCACTGGTGGAAAATATTGTTATAAAAGCAAGTCTCTCACATTCTTACAAAGAATATGTGCTTGAGCTTTACTGACTGGCTTTAGGCATTAACTGGATGATTTCTTCAATTCTTTAAAGAATGTTCTCATTATAATTATTAAAATAAAAATTTTGGCCTAATATAAAAAAAGGCTATTACGTTTCAAATCAAATTCCCAGGCTACTTCTAATTCCTTGCAACACACTGTATAGAAATCTATCATTACATAACCACCAGGTTAAATGAATAAAATTTCTCAATTCATTCTAGCATTATATAGTACAAATTTCTGTGAACAGATCCGATGGCAGCAGCCTTGGTTCAAATTGGAAAGCATTAACTACATTTTTAAAAGAGCATAAAATCAAGTTTTTATAATGAGCTTATAAAATTAATCTAAATGAATTTTAATTATAGTATTTTAATATGTTCATTTTCCTCTAAATAGTACAGCATAAGGTGATTTGCCAGATAAATGGAAAAAATTTTTTTCTTTGTTTTTGCCACTCTACCATGACTATTACCTGTGGAAAGCATGAGTCCATTTCATAGTCCTAACTCATTTAATATTGTTTATCTTCAAAATGCACTGTTTGGGTGGTATCAGTAGCCTTTAAAAGAGATAAACTGAAACATAAAGGTTGGGGTAAAGTCATGCAGTGACAGAGGCAGAAGGAGAAGTAGAGCTCTTTTTCTTTTGACTTCTCTACTAAGCTCCTTGTACCATACCACCAGAAGGTTCTTTTAAAATGTGTTTTGAGGGGCAGAGGTTGTAGCTCAGTGGTAGAGCATTTGCCTGGCATGTGCAAGGCACTGGGTCAGAACCTCAGCACCACATAAAAATAAATAAATAAAATGAAGGTATTGTGCCCATCTACAACTAAAATGTCTTTTGAGGGCTGGGGTTGTAGCTCAGTGGTAGAGCATTTGCCTAGCATGTGTGAAGGTTAGATTCTCAGCACTGCATATGAATAAAAAAAGAAAATAAAGATCCATAGAACTAAAAAATATTTTTTAAAAGTGTATTTTGAAAAATACAAATTAATAATGTCTCATGATGTTTTTAAGTGAAACATAGAATAAGCAACCAACAAATAAACTACTAATATTTTGCTGTCCAGATTAATAAACAAATGTTTTTGATATGCCTCCAACCCAACTGTCTGAATATTATCATTGAAAGCTGTATTTATCATCATGTATGCATTTCTTGTGTATGTCAACAATCCAGATGTTAAAAATAGTTTACGAAGTAACATAGCTATACAAAGGACTCTCATAACTCAGAAAAGGAATTATCCTTGCAGCTCAGCTACTTCAAATTTAAGCCACGTTAGGGTGTTAATAAAATATATACTTTTGCTCATCCACCACAGCTTGTATTTTAATACACATTTTTTTACAGTTAAACTGCCAGGTGTAAGAACCTATATTGATCCACATACCTATGAGGATCCCAATCAAGCTGTCCATGAGTTTGCCAAGGAAATTGAAGCTTCATGTATCACCATTGAAAGAGTTATTGGAGCAGGTATGACAGTGTATAACTCTTACATTTTGCTTGTATTATGGAATGTAATACATCACTGTCCTGCTCTAACACGTAATGTTTTTAATCTTACATAATTGACTTGCTTTCAAAGTGGCATGTAATTTATCTCATGGTAATGTCACTTTCTGTGTTCTTCATGCTTAACAATCACATATGGTTTATTAAAGAAAAAAAACGCAAAAATATGTCTTTAAGTAGATAATGTTTTTCAGTCTATTTTTTGTACACATATAGTAAATTTGTAATATAGAAAAGTATTCACATAGTTCAGTTTATCTTTTTCCAGCAATTGTTTTCTTTCTATCCAGCTATAAACTTTTATTTTTTTCTCTTCTCATTAATAGTAAGTTTCACTAGAGTAGACAGGAGAGGAAATAGTAAGTGCTTTTTATGCTGTTGCTTTTAATATCTTTTTTAACATTTCCATTGAGATTTTTATAGTAAGACAGATAAAGCTAATAAATCTTGACATGTTTTATGATCATCTGTGGATGAGTTTTCCTAGTATACCAATTCTTTCTGTTAATATTCACAATGAAATTTGAACTCCCCTTTTTAAATTTTTTTTTTCTGTTCTATGTCTTAAAACTCTGAGTTATTAGAGTGTTAGTAGAATAAGAATTTCAAACAAGCTTTCAAAATTTCTTTGCCATCTTTATCACCAGGTGAATTTGGTGAAGTTTGTAGTGGACGTTTGAAACTACCAGGAAAAAGAGAGCTACCTGTGGCTATCAAAACCCTTAAAGTTGGCTACACAGAAAAACAACGTAGAGATTTCCTGGGTGAAGCAAGTATCATGGGGCAGTTTGACCATCCTAACATCATCCATTTAGAAGGTGTTGTGACCAAAAGTAAGTACAACACAAGCAAATATGCAAGTGCAGGTGTATACCACAAATATGTCCAGATGATGATTAAGTTTAGGTTAGAAAGAAACTGACCACAGTAATGCATTAATTTCTGTAATATTAATATTATTGGTTCCATATTTTGTTAGATTTTTATCAGTTAATCACCAATTAAATTAATATTCATTTATTTTTTTCAAATGTATGCTTTAACCCATTCAATGTCAGAGAAAATATATTCAGATAAAAGAAGCAGTTAAAAAAAAAACCCATATTTTTTCTACTGACTTTTTCACTCTTTATACTAATTAAATATTGAAAATTGAAGTTTCATGTTTAACAGGAATCCTCTAACCATAGTATACTGCCACTCATAAGCAGTTTTGTATAGCCAGATGCATTCTTTCATTTGATTTTTCAAAATTAACATATTATTAAAGTTCTAGAGAAAGCAATGGCCTCAGAATATTGAAAAATTTCTTAAGGCTTAATTTTCTCTTTTTCTTAAAGAAAATAGAATTTCACATTTATTTTATATGTGTGTTAGTACATTGCAAATGAATGTGTTTGTGTAGAATGTCTCCCAGCAAAAGATTTCAAATAATTTTTAGTCACTCGATAAAGCATTTATGTGGCCTTATTTTCTTTTAGTCTATTCATTGTTTACCTTCCTACATATTGTGGTTCCTTTCTTCACCCCATCAGTCTAAAGACTACTTACTAAAATCATCAAAAAATTGTGGCAGGCATCATTCTCTAGATTTTTCTTTCAAGAATTTGTTCGACCTCCAGTTTCTATTAATCTATAGTTTCAGATTATATTTGTCAAATACATGTACAAATAATGTGTATTTAATAATGTTCTTAACAAAAGTAATTTCAATTGGGTTAATATTCATTTACATCATTTTGATTTCAATATGATAAATTCTTCAAAGCTTAGATTTGTTTCTTCCTCCAGTTGAATACCTGCCCAAACATTCTTCTTCCCTTAATGGAAACCCAGAAAGTGTACTGATAGTACAAAAAGGGCATTCTAAGATTTTACTCGAAAAAAAAAAATTAGCTGCTAAACAAAGGTAGGAGGCTGGGACAAGAAAGAAACAGGCAGAAGACAAGAAGTAAACACTATTTTTGAAATTAATAAAAAAAGATATTTGATAATGATTATATCATGTGTGAGATTATTCAAAGTAAGAATATAGTGTGAAACCTACGGTCATAAGTACAATAAAATAAAATCAGACATTGAGTCAAGAGTCATACTAAAAAAGCCAGTACCCTGGTGTACACCTGTATTCCTGCATACTAAGGAAACTGAAGCAGGTGGATTGCCTGAGCCCAGGAGATTGAGGGCAGCCTGGAAAACACAGTAAAGCCCTGTCAAAGGGAGAGATAGAAAGAAAAGACTGAGAGAGAATCCTATTAAGAAGTCTCAGTAAATTTATTTCTTATGCAAGAGTCATATTATTTAATATAAAATAGTTTTTAATGATAGTAGTAGTAATAATGGTAAGCAAGTATTTGGCAAATTGTTCATCTTCATCTCATCCTTCATGGTCATCAAATTTAACTTCCTAAAAATAATTCTCATTAGCATTTCACAGCACCCAGGGTAAACATAAAGCTCTGTGGGCAGTTGATCCTCCCTCTATAATAAGTGAAGATGGCATGTCTAGAAGAATGCCAGATGATTGTTACTATAATGTGCTTTAGTTACCTTAGTGTTGCTGTGACCAAAATACCTGTCAAGAACAACTTAAAGAAGGGAACTTTTATTTTGGCTCATGGCTTCAGAGGTTCAGTCCGTGGTCCAACAAATCTGTGGCTCTGGGCCTGAGGTGAAGCAGAGCATCATGGAGGAAGGGTATAGTGAAGGAAAGTAGCTCAGAACATAGCAAGAAGAAGCAGAGAGAGAGAGAGCTCATCTTAATGACAGACAAAATATAAACTCCAAAAGTTCACTCTCAGGGACCTATTTCTTCCATCCAAACCCTGCCTGCCTACAGTTACCACCCAGTTAAACCATATCAGTAGTTTAATCCACTGATTATGTTAAAGCTCTCATAACATTATTGTGAAGATGACATGAATTAACACAGTTTGTAGTGGACATGTCACAGAGTAAGTACTCAATAAGTATGAAGTTTTTACATATCCATTTATCGATTTTCTTATGCTCTGAACTCCTCTATATCCATATTTCTCATTGCCTCCTTCTCTGAGACTTGTACCATCATCTTCACTGTCATTTTGATTTCTTGAAAATTCTATTCAAACTCTATTAGCTCCATAAGAAAATCACTCATCATGTAGTCCTGAAGTAATCTTTTATTTTTTTGAATATTGTGCTTATATAAGATTTTTTTCAGCAGTCTATAATGTTCTCTAATTTGTTACAGAATTCTTATCAAAATTTTCATTTCATTTCATCTCTTTTGCAAATATTTTTTAGTCTCCTTTTAACAATGTATGCTCTGTGAAGAGGCAGATAATGACCTAAATATTCATATAAACCTGTTTTTCTGAATTTATGCCATTCCTTGATGTCACTCAAACATTTTGGACATCAGTGTCACATAAAATGGAGAAAATAATATTTGTCTTAAAGGATTATTATAGATATTAAATTAAAATATGTATTTATATATGTGTGTATATAAAAGCATATGTGTGTGTGAACAAATTATATTTAATTATATAGTCTAAAATTATATATTTTAATATATATGTAAATGAATATTTTTATATTAGTGGATGATGTCAAAAAGCTATTAGAAGTAATATTTATCAGGTACAGTGGCGTAGGCCTGCAATCACAGTGGCTCTGGAGTTTGAGGTAGGAGAATCTCAAGTTCAAAGCCAGCCTCAGCAATGACAAGACACTAAGCAACTCAGTGAGACCCTGTCGGTAAATAAAATACAAAATAGGACTGGGGATGTGGTTCAATGGTTGAGTGCCCCTGAGTTCAATCCTTGGTACCAAAAATAATAAATACATTAATAAATAAATAATAAATATTATTCATCTACCTTTTTAACCCCTAATATATTACAGGTCTTTGTTTTTTGTAAGCAAGTACTCACTGAGCTAAACTCTGAAAACCTCTTACAGTAATATAACCAAAATTTTAATATATGCTGTAAAAACCTTTATCTTTAGAAGCAAATATCAATATCAAGAAAAGATTACCTCCAAATTCTGAGAATTCTATCATAAAAAAATTTGTACTGTGGTTGGGTTTCAATTTTCAACCTTTTAGTCAAATATGCTGTTTGATGTTGCAACCCAACATAAGTCTATACATATAAGGAAAGCAAAATATAAATACTTAAAATATGTCTTTGTTTTTAATTTTCTGACCTACAGGAATTGAAACTGTAATTCCTCTTTTTAAATGTAGTTCTAAATGTTCAACTTAGGAAGTCTTCAACTTGTTTCTAATTTACTATGTTGCAACTCACTTTATTTGTGTCCTTAATTTCATGCTCTCTGATCTGATGCTAATTTATTCAGCAATTATTCTCAACCTGCAGCACACAGATAATGAGACATAAGTGCAACTAAATCTTGTGATTTTTCTGATTGAAGCTGAGGTGGGGAGTCTAAAGTAACATTCCTTTGGGTGGTGTCATTGAGAGACTCCAGCTTTCCTCTATTATTGCCTTACCTGCTGGAACAGGGAGACCCCATTCAGATTCTTCCTGTGATTTATTGGTACACAGCATACATTATACATTACAGACACACACACACACACACACACGCACACACACACACACAAATGCTTATTATATACATTTATTTATGTATTTATTTATTTATTCATTCATTCATTCATTCATTCATTCTGAGGGGTTTCGTAACAAATGACATTAAGAACCCAAAGGTCCTGGCTTAATTGAATCATTTGTAATGCAAGACACTGTAGTGTAATATACACAGTGCCAGTTTTTACTACTTAATGAGATTCAAGAAAAAAATAAAAAGGAGAAAAATTTATAATTTTCCCATTGCAGCATGTTTATCTGCTTAAGATTTCTTTTCCCACCAGTGGAAAATTATCCACTGACTAAAGGAATATTTATATTGAGTCTTGGAATTATCCATAGTTTTATTTCTTAATTCAGAAGCATGTACCATTCCCTTATAAAAATAAAGTTAAACAAAATATTAGAGGAACCATAAAGTAATCACTCTTTGTATGACCTAAGGAAATAATACAGCCAATGACAACTGGTTACTTATATTTCCCAAAAGTTCACTTATTACACACATTGATAATTATATTTCAAATATATTAATTTATCATGTCTTATGAGGTCATATTTTTTTAAAGTCCCTTTTTATATTAACTGGTGCTATTCCAACAATCTTCAAGCTAATCTTCCATTTTGGCATTGCCCTACTTTAGTGTACTCCACACATATTGTCTTTAGATCAATTTAACTAAATCCCTGAACTTCTGTTCTGTTCATTACCAAAAACTGACCAAAATGCCTATACTTTCATACTTAATCTGATATAATTTGTTCACATTTCCATATTCCATTATTTCCTTTTTCATCATGCTCTACTGAGTTCTTGTTATGCTTCTTTGAGACACCCTTACTCAGCTTTAGAATGTCCTCTCCTCTTTCTTACTTGACCTTTAGGTTTTATTCCAATATGACCTTCTCCATGAGATCAATGTCATCTGTCTCCAGTTTTCTTTCAAGCCCAAACGTCTGCATGGCAAAGAGTAGACACTCCCCAATGTTGAAAAGCTAAGTGAAGGAAAGCATCTTAATTCTACACAAAGCACATACTTAGTAATGCAAGCTACAGAGGCCAGAGGTTCCTAGGTCCTGAAATCAGTGCCCAACATGTGCAGAGGCTTCATGTACTTGTTGAATAAATGCATTCTTGGCCAGAGGCAATCTTAACAGTGCCAGCAGGGTTTCTCTGTACTTTGTCACACTGTACATTATATTGAAGTTCTATCTGCACATTTTATCACCCT